CTCTCTCTCTCTTTCTCACGAGCTATTATTATATTATTATTATTATTACTTTCGTACCGTGAATCGACGTGTGAGTATAAAATAAATTAAAATACGATCTTTCTTTCTCTCTTTTTTGGAAAAGCATTTTAAAAAAAAAAAATCTCAGAGGCGAACAATTTTTTTTTCTTCTCTCTCTCTTTCTCTCTCTTTGCCCCTCTTCTCTCTTTTTTTTTCCTATCCCCCCCGGGGGTCGAAACGACGCAATAAAAATAAGAAAATAATTCTAAGACGGTGATCGAATGCTCAACCGATGTAAAACATCATCGCCAACGGTGGTAACGATCCTGGTGGTGGTATTATATTTATAATAATAATAATAATAATAATAATAATAATAATTCAAAAATAAAACCGTTACGTGAATCCGTTCGCACGGATTAAAAAAAAAAAAAAAAAATTTTTTTTTTTGTAATAAAATAAAATCGCCGCCGCGTGGACTTAAGCATCGGAAGGGATCGATCGATCTTTTCCGAATAATCTGAAATCGATTTTATTATTATTATTATTACATCTGTTATAATTTTAAAATAAGTAACATTCGAACGTTCAAACGTTCGACGATGATGATGATAATAATAATAATAATAATAATAATAATAATAATAAAAATCGTAAATCGTGATGATGAACGCGTTCGAATCCGCTTGAATTTTATAAATCGTAAATCCCATTCCCGATTATAAAAATATTTTTTTTTCGAAAAAATGATGTGGAAGGAATGGAAAAAAAAGTCTAGTTACACGTTAAAAAGCCAATAATAATAATAATAATAATAATAATAATAATAATAATAATAATAATAATAATAATAATAATAATAATAATAATAATAATAATAATATTTGTTTTATATATATATAAATAAACAAACGATTGAGCAGACGTCTCGAGCGTAGGAAAACAATAACACGCAATTACAGTAAAAAAATCAAAACGTGCATGCATACATAATAATAATAATAATAATAATTAAAATTATTAAAAGCAGACGATTTAATAATTATTAATATAATTTTATAACGCTTTCTCATTATTATTATTATTATTTTTCTGTTTTGTTTTTTTTTCTTATCGACGACGCCATTTTTATCTGAGGAAAAAACGGGGGAAAATTTTTTTTTATTCGCGTGACTTGTGCAACATCCGCCATTTTTTTTTTTTTTTTTACGATTGTTAACAACAGCAAACGTGTCGGTTTTTTTCGCATAATTTTTTTTCACCGCAACCTTTTTTTTTTTTTTTATTTGTTCGAAATGGAAAAAATTGAAATGTCGACGATAGAAAAAGAAAAAAAAAAATGTCAACTTTTGATTTTTTTTTTTTTTTTAAATTTTATTCATTTATTCCAACCATTTTTTTTTTATATTACGTATGCGTTCGTAATCGATGATTGGTTTCTTCTACATTCTCTTGTCTTCTCTTTTTCAATCGAATATAAAAAGGAAAAAATTCACAGCCTTGTATAAAAATTAAAACGCGGAACGAAATTTATAAAAAAAGGCTGTGGAAAATATAAAAACAAAAACGGACAATCCGACCCTGTTAAACCCCAAAAACAAAAACGATCTCGTATAAAAACCCATCATTTCTCTCTCTCTCTCTCTCTTCTCTGTGTGCGTGGGAGTGCGTGTGCGTACGCGTGCGTTTTTTTTTTTACCCTTATTATATAAACCACCGAATGCAACAAACGTTTCGATTAAATAAAAAAAAAAAATGACGGATTTAATCACGATTTAATCGACCGATTTTTCCGTTTTTCCCTTTCCCCCCCCAAAAAAAAAAAAAATCCGCCGTTCGAAATGTAAAATAAAATTTTTTTTTTTTTTAAAATTATTTTCGAAGTGTGACTGCAACAAAAAATAAATAAAAAACAAATGAGAGAGAAAGAGAGAGAGAGAGAGAATAACAACAAGCATGTGCAGAAGATTTTTAACAAAAAAAAAAAAAGATTTAAGGAGGAAAAAAAAAAAGAAGGCGAGAAGGTGAAGATGTCGAAAATAGAGAGGAAAACAGAGATGGGGAAGCGTGAGGGGGAGAGAGAGAGAGAGAGAGAGAGAGAGAGAGAGATTATGCTAAACCATGTGCGTTTGTGCGTTTGTTTGCGTGAGTTTGTATTTGTTTATATATATTTTTTTTTTCAAACTAAAAACACTCCGCCATTGTCGGTTTGCATTGGATTGTGTTACAATTTTTTTTTCCCATATCCCTTTATGTATACGCCGTTTGTTAACATACGCGCACACGCACACCTTTAACCTTTATTACTTATTTAACGCGGTAATTTTCCCATCTCTCTCTCACTCCCCCTCCCCCCCGTTTTAAAAAACAAAATTTATAATGATAATAATAATAATAATATTTTTATAAACGATTAAAAATTTCATCCTTTTTTAAAAGGCATAATATATATGTATATTGAATTTTTAATAACCTCTTTTCTCGGTGTAATTTTCACTCGTGTATACCCGCCATAATTTTTTATGGATATCCGGTTCGAGATCTTTCTATCAGGCTGACAAGAAAAGACAAAATTAAACGCGATAAGACGCGCCATATTTTTTTTTAAAATTGAAAATTAATAAACAATTAATAATTATTTATTTTATCATATATAAACGTCTTTTGCTTTAAAATAATAATAATTAAAATTAATTACAAACGTTGGTTGATTTCACTGTTGGAAAAATAAAGACGACGACAGCGACGACAGCAACGACGACGACGACAGCGATTATAATAAAATCTCGTAATTCGATATTGCAATAAAGTTTCAGGTTTTTTTTTTTTTTTAAATTTATTTTAAGCTCGAATTTTAAACTAAGTTATTATTATTATTATTTTTTTTTTTCGAAAATGAAAATAAGAGAAGAAGATATCGAGGGAGCCGTTAAAAAGGAGGGGGTGGTGGTGGGGGGAGCAAGAGTAAAAAGGCAAATTAAATCTTTGAAAATATAGCGTGCTATAAAAATTAATTTCATTTTTTTTGTAAAATAATTAAAAAGTAATAAGAAGAAAGGCTAAAAACTTTTTTTTTTTTTTAAAACCTTAAAAAAAAAAGGAAAAAAGATGAAGAAGAAAAAGGAAAAGAAGAAGGAGAGAAAAAAGGAGAAAGGAGGGGGGCGGCAAAGGGCTCTCTGGTTTTTGACTTTCGTCGAACCGTAAACATTTTTTTTTTTAAATCGTTCAACCAAATCAATCCGTGACGAGTTCAACCAATTAAAAAATTAAAAAAGAAAAGAAAAAAACAACAAAAATTTACAATTATTAAAGAAACAGCAACAGCAGCAACAACAGAAACAAACAACAAAAACAGCAACAGCAAAAACAACATCGATATAACATAACGTGAAAGATGAAACGGATGAAATTTACGACGTGGTGATGACGTCATAGAAATTTAAGAGATTCGAGGGGTTAAAATTAGGAAAATGATGATGGTAGTGATGGTGGGTAACCTCCCCTCCCACCCCTTACAAAAAAATATAGTGGAACTAGCTACGGAATACGATAAATTTAGTATAAAAAAAGTTTTAATTTGATAATTAAATGCGATACACCTCAGCGTAACGTAATACGGGGAAAATTTAAAAAAGAAAAACGAAAGAATAAGAAAATGGCGGAAATGAAAAAAAAAACAAAGAATTTAAAACGCATCAGTAATAAATTTCAACAACAACCAAAAAAAAAGTGAAAAGAAAAAAAATGGCGGACGCGGACGAAAATGGACCGAAAAAAAGAAAAGAAAAAAGTTTTAACCGAAATTATAATAATAGTATAAATGTGACCATTTCGAAAATGTGACAAAAAAAAAATTTTTTTTTTTCCTCTAAATTTTCCACCATCTTGATGATGACGTAATGATAATAAGATATTTTCTGTGGGATGACGCTCTGTGGAATTTTTTTCGGGGGGGGCGTGCGTGGGAGGGGTGAGGTGAGAAGGAGAGTAAAGTGAAAAAAATTTATAAATTACTACAAGGTATGGATGATTTAAAACGGCGGTGTTGGTGTCAACGGTTCTAAAACCGAAATTCCGTGAAGTCTCATCATCATCATCATCATCATTATTATCATTCTAAAAAAAAAAAAAAAATGGAAAGTCGCTACTAAAAATGCTTACGAGTTGAATCACGAGGAAAAAAATTTTTTTTTTTTTTAGACGATTGTTATTTGCAGAAGAAATTTACAAAGTCGGATTCATCAACAGCGTCGGTCGGGTCACAAAAATGGGTGTGGTGGTGGTAGTGGTGACGGGGGAGGGAGAGGGGGAGTAACGTCGGCGGGAAAAAGGGGAATGAAAACCGCACCGCGTGTGATGTGACGGCCAAGGAAAGGAAGCTTCATGTTCCTGCATATTGCAGATGAAAGAATCTAAATCGGTTTTTACACCACCACGTGGAGGAACCAGATATCCACCTAAGAAGCGCGCGACGGTGGCAGAGAGAGAGTTATTTTGAGAAATGACAAATTTGGATGAAGCTGGCATAGCTCAACACTCAAGTAGGGGGGCTCATGCTCTCTCTCTCTCTCTCTCTCTCTAAAGCCAATAATACATCTGGGGACCCATTTTTAGCCTGGGCTGGGCACGACGCCTGGGAGATTTTTTTCAACTTCAGTACAATCAATTTGACTCTTCGGGTTAGTCTTTATCCGACTTATAACCGCGAGAGACAGAGAATGGATATTCTCTCTCCCTCGCGACGTCGACGACAGTATACATAAAATTATTAATTATATTATTATTATTATTATTATTTTGTTACGGTTGTTTGTACAATAAGTTAATTCGTGCTTTTTTTAAAAATTTTATCACGTGAGTGTTTTAATAAAACAATCAACAATCAAGAAAATCAATATCGATTAAATCGATCGCATTATTCAATTCGAATACAACATAAAGAAGAAGGAAAAAAAAAGTCTACAAAGAGGACAACATGGGACGCGTTTGTTCGTTTGTTTGTTTGTTTGCCTCTTACTAGGTCCGTGCTTCCTTACTTCCCATATAGTGTTTGTTTTATGGAATGTAAAGAAGTATGGAGCCTGTACGGGCGAATCAACGTTGGAACACGCAAAAACTTTTCTTCTTCTTCTTCTTATTATTTTTATTTTATATTAATTTTTATTTGTTTGTAGCACTGTAATAAGAGAGTATAAAACAGGTTGGCCAACCTTTTTAAAAATTGTGTTTTCCCTCACTTACACTTCACCTTCTACTCCAATTTTTTTTCTTTTCTTTTCGTTCCTTTTTTTTAAATTTTTACGCGAATAAAAATTTATCGTCACATCTCAACTATTTGTGACGTCGTAATATAAAAAATCGATCCATCGATCGATGGATAGATCGAATTTTAAAAAACGTTAATAATAATAATAATAATAATAAACGAACGAGAAGATATTTATATACGTTGGGAAAGGGGAGAAAAAAGAAAGAAAAAAACAAATTAAAAATTTCCGGCGTCGAATTAAAATAATTTAAATCGATAGATCGATCGATCGATATATCGAAATAATTATTTAAAAAAATTAGAAAAAAAAACCCGATGCAATGCGGTAGAATAAAAAACGTAATAATAATAATAACTTTTCGATACATTTTAACGAGAAAGGATTTTTTGAACCGAGTGGAAATCGAAAAAAAATATAAACGTCACATAATTTTAACATCGGCAGAGAGAGAGAGAGTGAGAGAGATGAAAGAATGGGGGAAAGAGAGAGAGATAGAAGTAATACGCATGTTTTACGCGTTATTTAAAAAAAAAAATGTATATTTGAATTTTATTACGCACAGAACTAAAAAAAAAAAAAAAACTTTTTGAAAAACATATTTAAATTTGTGTTTGTTAATAACTCAAAGAGGAGGAAAAAGTTTTTCCTTTTTTTTTCCTTTTTTTTGTGTTTTCTCCTCGTTTTCAAATTTAAAAAACAAAAAAAAGAAAAAAAGGAAAAAAAAATGGAAAAACTTTTTTTTTTTTTTTTTTAAACAAATTAAATTTATGTTTGCGTTGTAGAGTGAACCGTGTTGTTTGCCCCCGAAAATTTATTGATTAAATTCGCGTATTTGGCTCAATGCCGGAATAAAATACGATTTTTATTTTTGTTACAACAGTTTCCCCCCTTCCCTCTCTCCTCTCCCCTTCCCCTATCCCCCATCATTTTTTTTTTAACTTCTCTCTCACTCTAATGATTCGTTTCCCTCTCTCTCTCTACGAAAGAGGAGAAATACGCACATAAAAACGCAACGAAAATTTTTTTTTTTCAAAAACGTTTAAAACGATTTAAATTTTTATTAAATTTCGTCGTCGTGGAAATAATAATAATAATTTAAAAAGTAGAAGGAAAAAAAAGAGAAAGAGAGAAAATCACGTGACCAAAAACAAACGAATACGTTAAAAACTAAATAAAATTAATAATAATAGTAATAATATTTTTTTTAAGGTTTTTTTTTAATTTTTAATTTTTTTTTTTTTGTAAAAAATTTTAATCGACGATTAATTTTTCATACGAAAGAAGGATGAAGAAAAAGAAGAAAAATAATAAAGCTGGTTACGGTCCTGACAACGACCCAGAAAATATAAAAATAAAAAACTAAAAAATTGGAAGAAAAAATTTTTTTTTATTTCGAAAACGAAGTCGAAAATCAAATTGAAAAAAAAAAAAAAAACTAGCGAGGAGGGGAGAGGGGCGGGGAGGCTGTGTAAAGGAAAAAAATTTTCATTTTCCAAAAAGTGTCCAAGTTGTGTAAATTTAAATTCGGGAATTCTAGGAATAAAAAAAAAGGGGGGGAACGAAGAAATCGTAACGAAAAAAAAAACCGCAAAACGAAAACTTTTTTTTTTTTTGTAAACCTTTGACCGTTCAAAAATTTTGTCTCTTAATTTCCGGTTATGATGATGATGATGATAATGATGATGATAATGATGATGGAATTGGTCGAAACGATCGTTGCAGTCTTATCTAACAGGAACAGTATTTTATTTGTAGGAAGAAAAAAAAATCGATGAATGGAAAGTTTCAAAAAGTTCAAAGGAAATCATTTCGTTAAAAAAAAATTTTTTTTCGATTTCGTGTCTTTTTTTTCGAAACCTTTTTCTCTTCCCCCTTCCCTCCCTTTCCACCCCCTCTTTTCTCATCTCCCCGAATTCGAAAAAAAAGGATTTATATCTTTTATTATTATAAAAAAAAGGATCGACGTTTTTTAACAATGTAAAATTTTCTTTTGTTGTTGTTGTTAAATAAAAATTTTGTTTTGAAACAAAAAGAAACGTGACGAATTGTTTTATAAAATCCTAGTCATAGAGTAACAAACAAACAAACAAACAAACAAACGAAAAAACAAAAAATCTTTTTAAAAACTTTTAAAATTTCTTTCGCACCTTCTTACGAATCCAACATCGTCGTCGACCGTAAATAAAAACAATTGCAATGAAATTCCAGAAAATTCCAGAATTTTTTTTCCCCCACTCCCCCTCCTTCCCATTTCTTCCTCTTTTTTCTTTTTGTTTTTTTTTTTTTTTTTTTTTAGAAAAAGAATCTAAAAATGCGGCCATTAAAAAAATCTGGAATTCGGTTCAAAAAACTCTCCTCGACATGAGTTATAAAAATTCCTTTTAACGCTGGATTTCTCCCGTTTTTTCTTTCGTTCTCCTTCTCCCTTTCTCTCCCCCCCTCTCTCTCATTTTTTTTTCTATTTATAAATTTTCGTTTCAACAAATGTAATTTAAAAAAACAAAGCAATTATAATCCTCCATCTTAATTTTTTTCAACTACCGGAGACTAAAAAATACAAAACCGGAAATACTTTGTCACCACCGCAAAATACGACTTTTTTTTTTAGAAAATTATAAACGATGTAATAATAATAATAAAATTGCTTTCGTTCACGTCATCATCTAATATATAATTTTTCCCATATGTTAAATATATAAATATGTTATTATTATTATTATTATTATTATTATTATTATTATTATTATTATTATTATTATTATTATTATTATTATTATTATTATTATTATTTTAAATTAAAAATTTTTCCTACGAACGACATTGTAAAATTAATTAAAGTTTTTTCATTTAACTTCGGAAATAATTTTTTTTTTGTTGCTAAAAATAAATTTTTACGATACAAACGCTACGTAAAATGTTTAAGAATAATAATAATAATAATAAAAAAGAGTGATGATAATAATAATACATAATAAATATTAATAATAATAAATGTTCGAACGATCCGAACTTTAACTTTAATTTTCATAATTTTCACCTTGAGAAATAATTTAAAATAACAAAATTTCGTAAGTTAATTAAATGATATTATCGTGCGATTATCGATGGGAAGGAAACGAGCAGAAAACGCAAATAAAAAAAAAATAGAAAAGTCGTGGCAGAAACAAACAAAAAAAAAAAAAATTATTTTTTAAATGCGAATGATCGTTTTACGATGGACACAAGCGTAAGTAAAACCGCAAAAGCTTTTTAAAAAAAAAAAATTTTTTTTTACCTCAAATCCAGACAAACAGACAGGCAAACAAACAAACGAACAACGAACCCAACAAACAAACAAACAAACACTCACACGATGATTCGGAAAAAAAAAAATTTTCGAACCGATGAAAACGTTTTAAGCAAACGACGACGATCGTGATAACGACAAAAAAAATCCATCGATCAATAAATTATTATTATTATTATTAATATTATTATTATTATTATATTCAATCTTTCAATCGGTTAAATTACATTAAATAACGATAATAATAATAATAATAATATTTTTAATTTAATAAAAAATTTATTTATTTAAAAAAAATTAATCGAAAAACATTTTCAAATAAAAACTTTATTAGAAATTATGACGTCATTACGTATTTATTCGATATCGTTTCATATTTTATTATTATTATTATTGTCATTTATCCCATTTTCCCGTATTTATTTATTTTTAAGTAAAACGTTTCCTAATTTAAATTATTTTTAAATTTTCCATTGAAAATTATTAAATAATCAATTAATGTGATAAATAAAATAAAAAAATTAACAAAAAAAATTTTCGATGCTGCGTCATTTAAGGTTACTTCTGCTGACGTTCCTCCTCCCCCTCATCCTGCTGTTGCTGTTGTCGATCGCAATAATTACAAAAATTATCAAAGAGGGGAAAAAAAAGTTTAGATGAATTTTTTTTTTTTTTTTTAGTTTCAACGAACTCAATCCTCTTATTTTAAACATTGAAAAATAAACTTTGTTAATCGGCAAAAAGGGAGAAAGAGAAAGTGAGAGAAAGTGAAAGAGAGAGAGAGAGCGAAATAGAAAAAAAAAAAACTAATAATGTCATATATATATATATATATATATTGAATTTTGCTAGCGGAAAACGCAGCCATTAAAAACAAGAAAAAGTTAAAAAGAAAACAAGAAAAAGAAGGAAAATAATAACAATGATAATAATGATGATGATGATAATGATAATAATAATAATAATACTCGGGAAGCTTTTTAACAAAATGCTACCGATCTAACTAACTCGATCTTTTATTTTCTGACCTTTTTTTAAGTAAAAAAAAAAAAAAAAAAAAGAAAAAAAATTTATTTTTCGAAAGGAGGATAAAAAAGGCCTAAATAATCCTATTAAAGTTCCTATCAAATAAATTCTAAAGGTTTATCTATAATTTCGCCTTTTACTGGAGAGAGAGAGAGAGAGAGAGAGAGAGAGAGAGAGAGAGCAAAGAAAAAAAAAGAGAGTGGAAAAAGAAAAAAGAGAGAGAGAAAGAAAGAAAATTCTTTTAAACAACAGACTCGAAACTTTTTCTTTCATTCATTAATTTTTTTTTTTTCATTTGCTATGAAAATTAAAACGTTCTAATTATTTGAATGATAATAAAAATAATAATAATAATAATAATAATAATAATAATAATAATAATAGTATATATTCTCGTTTGTTTTTTTTGAACTTTCAACTTTACCTCATTCCACTTTTTTTCCTTTTTTATTTTATTTTAGTTCAAGCTGGAAAATAACAAAAAAAAAAAAAGGGGGAGAGGGAAGTAAATCGGTTTTA